ATCGTCATCTTCTGCCTGGAGACCCTGCCTGAATTCAGGGATGACCACGACTATGAGGGAACTGGAGGGACCTTCGGGACGGGTGGTGGCCCTCTCCCACCTGATGTCTTCACCAACTCCTCATCCTCAGCTGCTTCCATGGTGTCGTCCTTCACCGACCCTTTCTTTGTAGTGGAGACTTTGTGCATCATCTGGTTCTCCTTCGAGCTGCTAGTTCGCTTCTTTGCCTGCCCCAGCAAGGCCACCTTCTCCAAGAACATCATGAACATCATTGACATTGTGGCCATCATTCCTTACTTCATCACGCTGGGCACCGAGCTGGCTGAGAGGCAAGGCAACGGCCAGCAAGCCATGTCCTTAGCCATCCTCAGAGTCATCCGGCTGGTCAGGGTCTTCCGTATCTTCAAGCTCTCCCGGCACTCCAAGGGGCTGCAGATCCTGGGGCAGACCCTCAAAGCCAGCATGCGGGAGCTGGGCTTGCTCATCTTCTTCCTCTTCATCGGCGTCATCCTCTTCTCCAGCGCCGTCTACTTCGCAGAAGCCGATGATCCCAGTTCGGGTTTCAGTAGCATCCCTGATGCCTTCTGGTGGGCGGTGGTGACCATGACCACAGTGGGCTACGGGGACATGCACCCCATCACCATTGGGGGCAAGATTGTGGGGTCTCTGTGTGCCATCGCGGGGGTGCTAACCATCGCTCTCCCCGTGCCCGTGATAGTCTCCAATTTCAACTATTTCTACCATCGGGAGACAGAAGGTGAGGAGCAAGCCCAGTACATGCACGTCGGGAGCTGCCAGCACCTCTCGTCCAGCGAGGAGATGAGGAAGGCTCGCAGCAATTCCACCCTCAGCAAGTCCGAGTACATGGTGATCGAAGAGGGGGGGATCAACCACAGTGCATTCAAACAGGCTGCCTTTAAGACAGGCAACTGCACAACCACAAACAATCCCAACTGTGTGAACATCAAAAAAATCTTTACGGATGTTTAAAAAAAAACCAACCAACCCCAAACCAAACAAAACAGCGACAAAAATCGGAGGCTGGGGTATAAAAATAATAATAATAACGGTAATAACGCGAAGTGACTGTGTGCTCGGTGTTGTGTGGAACATGCACCATCGTCGGTCTGCGTGTGCCCTCGTTTTTATACCGTTTATTTTTTTAGATCCTTCCTTTCTAAAGATCCAAAAAGTGGATTTAACATTCTCCGAAGAAGAGGACGGCTAAAGGGTAAAGAGAAGGAAGATGAAGACAAAACACACTCACCGTCAAAACAGGTGTTTGTTCTGCAACGTGTTGCAGAGCTCCTTTTGTTTTCTCGGTTTTGGGGACCTCTCGCTTCGCTCCCGATTTTTTTTTGCCCCCCCTTCCCTAAAGGCAGCGTGTAGCCCATTTCCCTTCCATCGCATAAGCTCACTTGTTGGATTAACGACCCCGGCTCGGGTGGGGAGACGAGGAGAACATGTTGCAGAGCGTGCTGGAAGGGGGGTTGGGAGGAAACAACCGTTTGATTTTGCAGAGAGTCTCTGTGACCACATTGTTGAGTGATGCTTAATACTGAAACGTGTGGTGGGCCATTAGGGGCACAGCACGGATTCCCTTTTCTCCCCCCGTTGGATCGTTTATGGAATTCAAATTTCATAATTAGAATGGTCATAGATCATGTAGAATTAGAACTGGTCAGAGAGCGAGTGTGATCAGTGCTGATTTAAACAGGAGGGAAAAAAAGGAGAAAAGAAACCACCCCTCATTTCCTATTCCCAATTCCCCTCTCCTGTAACCCTACGGCATTATTTCACCCAACGGCAAATCGGTGGCCGCGCCGCGGGGCGGTGTGCGGGGCGGAGGGAGGCGAGAGGCAAAATGGAACGTTTTCGGGAGCGCGGGGAGCGATGCCGGCGGGGA